TATATATATATATGTATTTATTATGCTATTAAGTAAAATCTATATTTTATAATTTGAAATACTTGTGTGTGCATTTCACTATTACACAAATTAAATCAGTGTACCATGGCTTTAATATGCATTAATTTGTACTAGTGCGTCCAACGCTATTATTATTCGCTATTACATATATTATATTACATCAGGATAAAGTAAATTGAAAAGATACACGGGAATAAAAAAGACATTGCTTCAACATTTATTTACGTGATATTCATACACAAACAATCACTTACTTCTACTTGAATTCTTATATCTACAGTTCAAAACAGTACTGTGTATTTACCGTTATTCAGCTAAACTAGAATAAATACATTGTAGCATATCCTCTGGGAATATTATGAAACTATGTCGGTTGCTGGAAAAGCGACAGTTTCTGTCTATCTCTTTAGATTACCATAGACCTTTTTCAAAATCTAATAAACAACAAAGATAAATGACTATTAGATTAGAGAATTTGGATACCATGAAGAAATTGGATACACTTTGAAATTTTCGTTCGCGAAAGATTTCCTAATTTTGAGTATTGCCCAAAGTAGATTAACTACTCTTAATTTATTCTTGAAAACCTCTCCGAATAGTTCCATAATAGCTTCCTTAATGTCTTCAAATAAAAAAATATGTTCACACGCACACACTATTCTTAATAATTCAGCCTTGATTGCGACAAACGAATTATCATTAATATATTAAATACTTTTAAATCATATCAAGTTTTTCTTCAAAATTAATTCATAGGGTTTTAAATTGCTCTAACCTTGGCCAAATTGTGTAAAATTTAATATATTTCGATATAACAGAATTTAATAAATTTATGGATATGACAAGTCTACAGAGTGCGAACCATTTAGTGCTACAAATCCTTCGACATATTTGATTGATTAATTGAAAGAAAGAATTTTACTAACTGACCAATCAAAAAATGCTTCAAAGTATCATCAAATGTAGCATCAAATGTAATATCAAATGTAGCATCAAATGGATTATAGCCTATAGTTAAAATAAGGTAAACATTATTATTAGATTTATATTCTTTCACAAATTCTATTAATTATTAAGGATGCGTACTACTTAACGTTCGCAATGTTCGCGAGCATTAATTTTATCCTTGTCATCAAATGTTAAATGGAACATACTCTAAAATCATCTTTATCAGAAAACGTTACTTGCGTTTGTACAGCAGTAAA